AATATATCTAGCTTGTATCATCATCTACTTTTAGTCAAAATGCACCTGTGGCGAGTTGATGTGAGTCAACTCATTAGAATATGCCACTGCCCTATTTTCAAATCCATTATATCATATTCACTCCCCTGGTCACCACATCTTTGCTGCTTGATCCTTTTTCTATCTGAATGATGTGGTCAGGGTGTGTGTGTGTGTGTATGTGTGTGTGTGTGTGTTTGTGTGTGTGTGTGTGTGGGTTGTGTGTGGTGTATGTGTGTGTGTGTGAAAGGTCCAGTGTGTCGGAGATAGTGGAACCTCAAACGGTGAAAAATAGAAATGCAGAAATTAGCAATCTCTTTGTCATATGTATTATTGTAAGGAAGGTTATATCAGCTCTGTGTGGAGCGATCATGGATGTGTTATAGACCCATGGTAGAGATGAGGCTGTGGGAGTGGACACATCAGACTACATCAGAACTATTCAGAAAAAGTGTTTCTATCTTCCATTAAGTACATTAAGTCTTTTTCTAAAAAACACCTCAACCAAGCAAAAAACTTTTTTGCAAAATCTAGGACGTTGTTATCAGCCTTTCCTAATGTGATACTTCAAAATGTGTAACAACAAAAAAAACATTGATGGAAACACAGCTTTTGTTAATCTATTCTGTAAAAGGTGTTATGGGTAATTGAAGGCCTTAGAGCCTTGCAGAGCAGCCAATGTGCACAACTCCCAAATCTCGACACTACATCATGCAGCCCTGCGTATCAGACGACATCCAGCTTCCTGCCAGGCAGAGGGTTTGAAACAGTAAATAAAAACTGTCTTAATGCTTTGTACAAGTGTAAAATAAAACTGTCATGCAAACATGACTGTCAAAAGCCGGAAAATATCGGAAATATGGGCAAGGACTGTCACTGATAAGGAGTTCTACATACTCACACATTGAAAGCAAATCCACTTAAGTGTCTTGCTGCTTTTAAATCTTGCTGACAGCTCACAGCATATATCACACCCTGTGAAATATGAATATGGCTACACACAATATTTCCCCAAGAGGCAAGGTAAAGTACTTCCCTGAGATCTTATCTGAGTTGAGTGACTGATTCGGAGCTAATGTCAGTCAGAACGGATGAATTTGTATTGAGTGCAGCATGTGAGGAGGGAGGCCCACGCTTGCACCATGATGAAATTAAATGGGCAGAGGTAGTAGCTTTTGGAAGACCCTCCCAAAACATATTAACTTTTCCACTACAGAAGAGAAATGATGCAGAGAGCTCTGTGGTATATCCAGAGATATACTGCATTGAGAAACAGACTTCATATCCAAAATCAACAGTTTGCCTTGATGATGTATTGTATACTGGGTCTGCACTCTGTAATTAATTTATATTGAGTTCTGTGCAAGAACCCCATGACTCAAACATACTGAGATTAAACTAATTGTGCATGGTAACTGATGTTGGTGTTATGATAAAAAACACTTTTTGAAACTGATTGACTGACTGATGTTTTTATCTCAAACCTCACAGAAACTGCACGAGGCCGAGCCAAAACAGCATTTGTTATAGTTTATAATCAGCTTGTAAAAGAATTCTAACTGAATCTGTGGAAAAATAATGCAGCAGTAACAAATTATTATTCTTTCTTGCAGATTTCATCAGAAAAAAATAAAGCAAACAAGATGTCTAGGTCAGCATCTGGATCCCAGGTTCTAGAAAGACATGCCTCCACCCTTGAGTGCCCTTGAGCAAAACTGCCATTGCTCTGAATCCCCTGAAGGAACAGTGAATTTCTCCTCAGGGATCAATACTGTAACCAAAACATTTACATTTGTCCCACATTCCTGACATTATTAGCTTTGGTGATCATAAAACGTGGTGTAAAAACTGATAAACAAGCTGCATTCCTGTGGGGAAACTCAGTGAGAGAGCTGTATAATAACGCTTCACACAAGTGACAAAGACAATGCAGCTGTGGCCAGAATACTTAATCTGTTTTATTGAAGGAAGAAAAGGAGTCATCCTATACCAAATATGGTTATAAACTCATCACCTTGTTCATCTGTCATTATGGTGACATATATGTGTGTTATTAATCCCAATACTGTACCTACTGACCTGTAGAAATAGTGAATATGTTTTTTGTTTAAATACTCTCAAAAGGCTTTCATACTGTAAGGACTATTCATACACATGCAAACACGCACAGACCACAGTTTTACATACCCATATAAACACGTAAACACGTGGATTTGAACATACTTACAACATCTACCCAAGGATGCAGCGCTTCAAACGAGTATCTGCAAAAAAAACTGCACACATACACACTGACTCACACACACTCCAGATTAGGACGGTATTGCTCTACTCTAGTGTCCAGAGGGCAAACCTCACACACAGGCAATGAAAAGCAGAGGTCTCAGATCTGGATGGAGTTTGGAGGAATGAAGGGCTGAGTTTGCTGGCAGAAGCAGAACCACAGACAATCCCACTGGGCACACAGCTGAAATCCCTCGGCGACTGGCACAAAGCTCCGGTGGCACTGAGCCGTAGCCCACGACCCGGTCCACTTCAAAGAAACTCCCAAAACAAAACTGCTTCGGTATCAGTCAAGCTGACCTTGAAAGTGTTCCCAGTAAGCTAAACCCACAAAAAAAAGCCAAAGTTAGTTTCTGTCTTCTTTAAAGAAGTCGTTGTACCAGTTTGCAGTTTAGTGGATGCAGAGTGGATGTTGTAAGGTGACCCTCTTATTCTAACTATTTTAAAAATCCCACAAAATTTTATTAGGTAATATTTGGGAAAACTGAAACACGAGGATAGGGCAAATTCCCTTAACATTTGGGATGAGAAATAAACCATGTAAAAGCAGAATCCTACTAACTCACCACACATTGAGCTGTCACTAGCTTTTTGAGTTTAAGGGTTGGCATGTCAAATGATTTAAGCACTCAAAGTTTTCTGATAGGTCTGAAACACGTAAATTTCATAGTAGAAACTGAGCCTGTGAGATGTACAGAAGACGTTTACTTGATTTATTTTTTAGACATTTTGTAATTTACCAATTTAAAATTGATTATCTGCTGATGAATGAATAATGAAAGCTCCCTGAGTAAAAACCGCTGTATGACAGCTGACATAAAACAAAAGACTGGATGGGATCAATAAAGCTCAATATGGCAGATACCAGTTAAAAAATGCCTTGATCGGCGCAGATAGCGAATGTTGAGAATCAGATCAGGAAATGCCTATATATAAGACATCTGACAGTAGAGAGGTATCAGGAAATGTCTGAGACAGACATGCCTAAATGATGTCAAAAAATTTCCCTGGTTGGACACAAACAGGTGATGCAGCGAGAAAGAGTTCCACTATTTTTGACAGTAGATGTGTGAGACAGTGTGATGCAAACATTCCAAGCATTCATAACCCCAGAGTTACGCCACATGCACAACTTTAGTTTGCATTGTCGGCATCCATTCTCATTCCCAGGTCATCAAAGACCAAGGCAAAATGTGACACTGCCACAGTTGACCGGTCTGTGTAATACACACTTTGGCGTGATACCGAGTTGGTCTGGATGAGATACACCAGGGTGCCAGAAAGCCTTTAGAAATTCAGATGATGTAGTACAAAGAGTGAAAAAGTCAGTCAGTAACTAATTTTATGTTCCGTATTTTAAGTTAGGTCACATATGTATAACATTAGTTTACTAAGGACTAACCAAGTAGTTTTGTTGCCTAAACCTAACCCAACTGTGACCATTTCACAACATTAACCACGTGCTAAAAAGGCTTTCTGGCACCTCGGTGCGTTTCATGCAAAGTGATACCGCCAGATTTAACTTTGCGTTTTCTTTGACTTCAGTGTTCCTGACAGAAATAAAGGCGTAAGGTGCATTATCAGTGAAGTTCAGTAAGAAAGAAATAACAGGGACATTGTCCATGTCCTGAATTATACTGAGTTGTAAAGGTGTGTAGGCACTGTACTTTACAAGAGACACGTCAGGTTAATATGACATTTATGAGAGGTTGTTCAGGCCTCCAGAGATACAGCACCCAGAGAAAATGAATGTTATTCACTGAATGACTCAGAGGGGAAGCATTCCAGCCAGCAGTGTCAGGTTTGACCTCTTTCCTAACCCACTGTAGGTAAACATTATTACAATCCCAGTATGGACATACACTAATTTTATCTTGTGTGATGTTGCAGTCTCAACCTCAGAGACAGGTTGCAAAAAAACAGTAGCAAAAAAGTCAGAAATTAGTTCAACTTTTTACAGTTTATCAAGCAGGATAAAGGTCCGAATGATGAGGGAGCTCTGCAGTATTTCTTTGTCCAAGTCAGTGCAGTGTGGCTGACCTCAGCACAGCTCAGCTCCAAGAACACTATAGCCATGAAGTCACAGATGTGAAAGACAGAAGTACTGTGGAGGGCAGGAGTCGATCCTAACAGTGAAATAGAGCAGATGGAATTCAACTTAATAGAGAGGAGGGGCGTCTATATGGTGAAGGAATGAAGGAATGAGGTTGGATGGGGCTGCACGGATATATTTAAGAGTCAGCAATAGATACTGTGAATTAATGAGTAAATAATGAACATGTACAATCTACTATATATGAACTTGCTTATCTTGATAGTAGAGAGTATGGCAGTAATTTCCAACCAGTAGTCTATCCATACATTTTTCATTGGAAGAAAATAACACAAACTGGAGTAGGAAATCGATTGAGGCTGATTTATAGCATATTTATCGGCACATAACCAATTGTCCTAAACTACAAGAGTTCAATTTCACAGAACACAGCACCCAAACGCCTCAATTCAATTCTTAAGTCAATTTTATAACCATGACACTTTGTGCTGTGATTGGCAAAGACGGTAAGCAAACAGGGAAATCAAAATACTGTAGATGGTTAAAAGAGATGGACACATTTTTTAAATGTCTTGCTTCTGGTAGTAGTATGAATCCAAACCTTACTAAATCTACTGATAAAGAAAAAAGACACAAAGCATAAAGCAACATTTTGTAACTGTTTACCTTAAAATAACAACTTTAGTCAGAGCACTGGCAAAGTGATGGCGTTTACAGTGGTAGTACAGGAGATTTGGACCGCCGGGAGGAGGAAGTTTAAATGTCTGGGGCGAGGAAATGCTGACGGAGAGTTGCCACAGCTTGATGCCAGAACCAGAGCTGACGAGCAGGCAACGTAACCGAGCTCAGCTGGCGGACAATAGTAAATGTCGGACTGCCTTTTTACTCATTGGCAAGAGCTTTGTGAAATAAAAGGCTGCAGACACAGCGACCTGGCCTTGCTGTTGGACTAGTAAGTAATATAACCTGGCTTGTTATGTCTTGTGTTGCTGCACTTGCTTGATGTTTGGCTGTGTCAGCAAAGTTGTTAACTTTCTTGTTTTTTATTATAATTAATGTAATCATTACAAATGCATGTATACAGCTGTCCATGTTTACGACAATTGTATTACAACTGGGGGCGCCAAATTGCAACAAATACCAAATCTTACATTATGTTATGTTTTAGGAAATGACACATCCAGGATCATGGTTTTCAGTGAAAAAAGATATATATTATATAACTATCTATATATATATATATATATATATATATCTATAGATTAAAAGTTAAATAGCTTATGCCTTTTTGGGAAACCTCAAATTTAAATCTTACACATACTCATTCAATCAAGCTTACAGAAATCCTACTGGCCATTGCCAAAAAATGCAGTTTAATGTATTGCACTGAAATGGAAGTCAGATTGCTCGTTGCCAGTTGGACTGTGGCTCCCAGAAGCGACCTTTCATACCTCTGGAAGAGATAACTTACTCACTAAGGAATAAGGTAATTTTTTCTAAATTGCAATCTTTCATCAACTGCATGGAGAATCTCTCATCTCACTCTGTGTTGTAAAATACCATTCTATTGTGGTTACAGTTTTCTTATTTATTTCTTATTATTTATTTTTATTGTGTGGTAATTCATTTTTGAGACTGGTATGTACAGTGAGTGGTTTTGTATTGTCACTGTGTGGCTGGTTTGTATTCAATTTAGAAAAACCAAAATAGTATTTTATTTTGGTTTTTCAAATTGAATAGAAAAATCAGCGCAAAATCATTGCGGCCCTCCTCCATCCCATTCATATCCAGTGCCCAGGTTGAGCTCATCAGAAGTCCACTCCTCATCAAATCCAGATCTTCAGCAGCCTCTTCGTCTCTTCATCACCGCCACCAGTGTCAGGGGTTCCTCTACGAATCACCGCTTCACCAACCATGTCAAAAACGATGACGTCACCTCTCATATGTACAATTTTTGGATTTTTGGATATTTTAGTCAAGGTTTAGTGTTATCTGTTCTGTTTATGTGTGAACTTTTGTCTTATATACACCAAGAGACATAATCCATGTTCATCCATCAACACCATCCCCTGTATTTGTCAGTTCAGTCTTCCTCTTTCTTCCTCTCTCCATTTACCAAGACAGTTGTTGATCCTCTCAAATACTGATGGAAAAATGCGTCCATATGGTTTCTATTTCAGGGTGGTTTCTGTTGAAGTATTCAGCTCTGGGAAAATAATAACAAAATTACAACTAAGATGACTAACACATTTCAGATATGCTTGGAAATTATTCCTTTGAGGATTTTATACCACAACAACACAGTTCATCGTCATCTTTGAGAAATGATCCTCAGTCTATCCTGCTGTCTTTCACCTGGTGTTACTGAGCACCTTGATGTACATTTCCAGTGTAGTATGATGTCATTATATTCTTCTATCATTTATGACATGTTGCGGCACAGGGAGAGAGTAATAAAAACCTTTCATTGTGGTTGCAACATTGTCAAACATGTTTTGTGTTTGGTCAAAATGTGAACACAATGAATGCCTGCCCACATTTCAACACGCATAGCGCACTGTGTTTCATTGTTGCCAGTCAGTGATTAATTCACTGAATGAATAAAAATTATGAAACTTTCTACTAAATGAACATCTGGGAAACATAAATCCAATCAGACCAAATAAAAACAACAACAACAAAAAAGTTATGAAGGGAGCCCTCAAAATCAAGACATTGTGTTCATATGTCAATTTTGAGAACTCTGTATTAAGTCACACTTTTAAGCAGCTGTTTTTTTGCATCGGTTGAGTCTCAAGTCATGTCTAAAACAGTCTTAAGTCAGGTCTTAAAGGGACAGTTCACCCCAAAATCCAAAACACATATTTTTCCTCTTACCTGTACTGCTATTCATCCATCTAGATTGTGTTGGTGTGAGTTGATGAGCTTTGGCAGTATTGGCCATAGAAATGTCTGCCTTCTCTCAAATATAATGGAACCATATGGCACTCGGTTACTAAAGATAGCATGTGAGCAGTTTAATGTAGGAACTATTTTCTTTCTACTGACCCACACCCGCCAACCGTAGCTCAACTTTAGCTATCTCAGTAATGCTAGGGTAGCTAGCTCACATTACAGCTTAGCCATTAATGTTTAATCCTGCACTGTCACAAGCACAAGCTTTTCGTCCATGCTTAGATGCATGTTTCCTTCTGCTTGGTGATACATAGAAAGAAAAAAGTTGTTACATGAAACAGCTCACAACAAGATCTGTGAATTATCTTAAGTAATCGGGTTATGATTTCTGGAAAGAGACATTACTGTTTTTCAAATGTATTTTTTTGTTTAGCCCCACAATCCTAGTGCCATCTACTTCCATTATACTAGAGAGAAAGCAGACATCTCTACGGCCGATATCTCCAAAACTCGGCAACTCACACCAAAACAATCGAGCAGTACAGGTAAGAGGAAAAATATTTATTTTTGATTTTGGGGTGAACTGTCCCTTTAAGACCTTGATGGAAAGTCCATGTCTTTATAAGCAAATTGGAAGTCAGTTTTCAAGTATTTCAGGTTTCTAATGGCTGACCATTAAAATTATATGGAATGAGGCCTGTGGCAAGAGCTGGTTTCACAAAGATAGACTTTGATTATGGCTTAGATCAAACTAGTCATAATGTCAAGCAGCAGCAGTCAAAATTCCTCATTTTTCCAACTTAAGTGTTACGTCCAAGTGTGAGGTCTGCAGTTTTGGAAACTTCTGACTATGAGCTGACAAGAAGTTCCCAGACACACTGCTTCACTGTTTGAGATATAGTGCTAGTGTATGATGAATCCTCTGTAAAACATCTCATTGGGGAAGCACTGAGCAGGTTCAGCCTACCAGCTTTCAGTCCTCCAAGTACCATTATTGTTTCAAAATTTGAAAACAGCACCCCTATAGGGTACAAGATGTTCATGGTTCTGTTGGCTATAGAGGAACAAATCACATACGGAATCACTCACACACATAAATGAAGTCACTCTTTCTGTCAGGTCCCTGTGGATCAAATGGTTTGCAGAAACATCTGTGGTATGTTGGGGACTTTATCCTCTCTCTCTTTCTCTCCGTTTTTCTATCTCTTTCTCCCTCTCCACCCCCGCCCCACCACTTTTCCCGAATGGTCTGTATTTTGGGTGTGTTTCCGAAGTATATATATAGCCGCATACGTCCCTAAGCCACTAATCAACATAACCACAATCCCAGACTTCTGCAAGAAAGCCAGCATGTGGTACTCTCGAGAGAGACCTCTGATTGGTTAAAAGAACATAAAAATAACCCACAGATTGGTAGAATGAAGGTACTTTTTGAGGGAGGAGCAGCTATCTCCTGAGTAACATCGTAAGTTCAAATGGGGACTGAAAAACAACATTTTGAGAAGACATCAGAAAGGTTTCAGACTTAAAGAAGGTCTAGTGCACAATTACAAACTCTCTACCAGACAAGGATGGCTTTAACCTAAATTGACATACATTAAAACTCTATAACAGATTATATCTTCAACAGTTTAGAAAACCTGAATGATGGAATTCATTTTTTAAATAATATTGACATACATCTTCAGGAAATAAAGTATATATTTCATGTATCAGAGCATTAAAATCATCTCACTCTAAAGCATTCTGCCACAGTGAACTGTTTCAGTAACAGAGATGGGACCACAGGGTGAATGAGCACTGTAAGATGATTTAAGGAGTGACACTGTGTGACTCATTTGGTGTGAATCACTGTTGAGCTGGAGCCTCAGAGATGTGGTCGACAGCCACATCATTCAGACCCAACAAAAGGGGATTTGACTATTGAAGGGGTCTGTGAAAGGGTGAGGGTTGAGGCCAGGCTTCTCTCTGAGGCAACTGTGCTACCAGGCTATGCTTAGAGCATACTCACTCATCATTAGTTAGCAGCAGATGGAAACGCATTCATAAACATGCCACTCAAAAGGAACACATTCAGTGTGTTTATGTTCCCTTAAATGTGTATGTTAAGAGGATCTGGCAGAAATGGAATATGATATTCATAGGTATGTTTTCATTAGTATACAATGACCTGAAAATAAGAATTGGGTTTTTGTTACCTTAGAATGAGCTCTTCTATGGTGTCCGCCTAAATGCTAAAACAGGAGGGCTAAGCTTGGGGGTTGTATTCTACAACAACACAACAACAAGATGGCATTACATCCTACACACTGGACATGTGAGTAGGTTACGGTCTGCAGTAAACTGCTTAAACATCATGTTAGCAAAAAAAACTGGTTTCTGTACGCAGGTCAGGAGATTCATTCCATCAGACCCTCCACAGCAGGCATTTGGACCTGTTAAAGCAGGAAGAGCACAGGAAGTGTAACTGATAACATTAATAATGGCTCCATTCATTCCAATTGTCCAAGGAAGCCATGTCAGTTAGTGAACATACACAATACCAGAGACCTGGAACTGGCTCATCTACATGGAATTCAGCCATCATCAATGTTATTAATTCCACCTGTACTTCTCCTGTTTTGACAAGTCAAAATGTCTGCTGTGAAATAGGTCTATTAATTTATCTTAATGACTACACTGTATGTAACGTCATTGTTTTTGTTCAGTACAGTTACATTTCAAAACCAAGTTTCTAATGTTTTTAATAAGACACACATACATGAGATGGACTTCGGACAAGGAAAATCTACTGTACATCGCTGCATTTTCACCATTCAGTCATGACTTAGTAACTTTTTCAGCAAGAAAATCTTTGAGTAAACTGGTGCTGTTAACTGGGAAAGGTGAGGCCCTCTACACATGATCAGTAGAATCACTTTGTGCCAGCATGAACCATTTTTTTCCTTTGGAGAACAAGAATGTGCTGAACTTCAATGTTAGCACCTTGTTCAGTTTCTAATCCTCGCTGCTGCGTTCAAAGTAAAATCAGTTTCAGTTTTAGTCCAAGATATGACTTGAAAGCGACCCATAAACTGTGGAAAGGACCAAACACTTTTTATGCACACAAACTCGTCTTAATTATGGGAATTGATTTTTTTTTCTCCAAATATGGATCATTTTCAGTCATTTCTTATCTGGAGCAAGTTGATGAAACAAGTTATTTGTCAATTAGTTAAGTGTATTTAATTCAGCAGATAATGTGTAGTAAAAATTCTGTCAATGTAGGCTGCAGGTGGTCAACCTTGAAAAGAAAAAGGACGATCAACTTATGTTGATGTGTGAATGTTCTGAAAACTTAGGAACTGGAAGAATAACCCAAAAACAGAGAAAAGTCTTTAGTATAATAAGTCATAAAGAAAAATTCTATAAGCTACATTAGAAAGGAATGTGCACGATTACAAATTGGAAAAAAAAATGGAGTGTGTAAAAGTATAACTTTGTTTTGAGAAGTAAAGTAAAAGAACAAATTAACTAGCTTGTTTTTTCTTATGAGCTGTACTGCAGCTTATCAACAACAAATGCCACATCAACTTTAATTTCCAGAGCAATAGCCAGAAGAACTCTATGTTCTGTCTCATTATGAGCCATAAACACTCTTATGTGCTGTTCTGTCGGTGCTTGTGTTTAGGTTTTTGTCGTGATTAATAGAAGAATCTCTCTACAAGAACTGTCCACTTTTCCACAGTGCCACAGATGTTCCTTCTGCCTATGTACTTAACAAATATAACATAACATTAGCAGAGCTGTGACGTCAAAGCATTCCTCCCTGCATGTTTATAGTGTGTGTGTGTGTGCATGTGTTTATGGAGGGCCAACAGAGGACGTAGCCAAAAGTAATGAACTGCAAACAGCACAAGCTAAAACAATGGTCTTTTCCCTTTTGTTTAAACTGTAAGTTTAAGGGGGATTTCTAAGCTTAGACCAGATACTTCAGTCTGTAATAAGGTTGCAGCAGTTTTCACTCATGAGGGCCCCAACAAATTGTGGATGGACAAGACTTGAGGTCACCTATGTCAAATCAGTGAGCTACACATGTGTACTTTGGTGATCATAATACCACAACAAACAAATGAAATTTAAGTCACACTTGGGTCTGTAGCATGTCATACTTTAACAGTAACTTCAAAGAATAAATATTTTTAAGTCCACAATATAGACTTTCAGCAGATGTTTTGTGCTGAGCCATCAGTGTAGCAATTAGTCATACAGAAGTGTAATATAAATAGACCAACAAATAACATATTGTGTCTGATGACCGACTTTTGTTAATCTGGCATTTAGCAAAGAGCGTTTTGAGCAGTGGCTTTTTACTTTGACTCTGCTGCACAGCATTGTCACTTAAAGCCAAAACCCTTGACCAATCTTTCCATACTACATGGGAACAGAATCCTCAAGGTCTCCTAAATCTTTTTCAATGAGCCAGAGTGTGAAAGCACCATAAACGGTGGCAACAGAACGGTTGTATAACTCACACTTGAATTGAAACACAGCTTTAAGGAAGTTTTAGGAGTTCTACACATGGTAATTATGAGTGAGACTACCAAAGTTGAAGTACTTGGAGAATTAATGATCTCTGACAGCCTTTTCACACTAACCTCTGACAGTTCTGCAAGGAGCCAATTTAATATGTTTTCTTAATGGACCCTCCTGGTGCTTTTACATGTTTTAGCCCATTTATTGTATGTATACCAGGCGTTTGTCACAGCATGAACCCGTTCTGTTCAAGATTCTTTTGGAACCTTTGTGTTATCTAGCAAACCAGCCCATGTTTCCACCATCAACAGAGAGCAGGGAAATGTTAAGATTGCACACATTCACTGGTTTCCATTCATATCTACGGTATATAAGCAGACACTTGTTGTTCCATTACAGAGAACATCAAATGTGATGAACCCCAACTAGTCCTGCGTTGCCGTTCAGAATGTTTGTGCTTGTGTATACAGTTACTATACACAAAAGCACAGAGACAGTGGCAGCCAACCCTGCTATCTCTTTCCCATTGAGCCTTGTTGGATGGTGACCAGCAGATGTTTCCCATATATCTCACTGTACATCCTCTGTCTGTCATTGTATCAAGCCAGAACTCTCAGCGTACACAGCCAAAGATAGACACAGA